GGCGGGTGGGCGAGGGGCGCCCTCCCGGCGGCTCCAGCGCCCGCCTGGGCCTCTAATGAGCGTGTCTCTGAGCTGCAGCCACCCTCCGGGCTGTGGGAGCGATGCCCACCAGATGGCGAGTCCGCAGGTCTTGTTGGGCACAGCCCCTCTTTCTGGGTCAGCGCCTCGCCCCGCTTTCCTGGGGGAGCAGGGCTTTGCCGGCAGCGGGGTGCACTGGGAGCTGCTGTGCGGCGGGGGCCGTGGGGCCGGTCACTGCCGGGACCCCTGCACAGCTGCTCAGGGCAGACAGACGCCCGCCCGCATGCCGCTTCTGGAGAGCGACGCCCCCAGCATGCCTTGGAGCCTGGCTGCTGCTCCCTGGGAGCGGTAGCCTCCTGCGCACTACAGGAGGATGGACCCCAGCTGCCCCAGGCCGTGGGGTGGGCGTGAGACGGAAGAGCAGAGAAGCTGCTGCCATGTCCGGTTCTGTCCAGTGCTCCAGCCGACTTGCTGCCCTGGGCGCCCTCCTGCCTGCCCCCAGAAATAGCCTCGGACTTGGGCGGGCGGGGGGAGCCCTGCGTTCAAGCCAGCATCCTGTGGCTTAGGGTGTCGTCTTCTGGGCTGCCTCCTCCCGCTCTCGCCAGCCTGTGGCGTGGGGACCTTGCGCCCACATGACACCCAGCTGGGCTTTGCGAGTGAATTGGGGGAGGGGCTGGGTAGGGCATTCTGGGGACACCGCGATACCTGCAGGGGTTTCTGGTGCCCACTGCTGCCTCCTCAGCACTTCGTGAACCGGTCCTCCCCCAGCCCGGGAGTCCATGGCCCTGGGCATGCTTGTTCCTTTGTCTGCGCTTTTCCCTATCCCGAAGGAGCTCCTGCCATCGGGTGAGCGCATCTCCCTGCAGGGTTCAAGAGGTGGGCGTGCCACGGGTTTAGGTAGGGGCATAGGGTATTCTCAGTCTTATCTTTCTCGTTCCTAACGAGTCTCGCCCGTCTGTTGGCTTGTCTGACGGCGGCTGCACACGGGGCGGGTGTTTTCCGAGAGCTCTCTGCGGAGTGGGACCGGCTAAGTTAGTCCCCACCCTTTTATAGGAACAGGCAGGGTTGTGTTCCCCAGTGTTCATCACGGTGCATGTATCGACCTTACCTTTCATCTGCCCTGTTGTGAGACCCTTTTGTAGCTGGTCAGTCTGCCTAGGACTGAACTATCTTGAGCAGTTTGGTCTCCTCTGCAAATTTTACCACCTCATTGTTTACCCCGTTCTCCAGATCATTTCTGAATATGTGAATAGGGCTGGTCCTAGGACAGAGTGCTGAGGGACCCACTAGCTACCTCTCCATTCTGAAAACTGACCATTTATTCCTACCCTTGGTTTCCTGTCTTTTAACCAGGGTGTGTCTAGACTACAGGGTTTTGTCAAAAGAACTCAGCAGTTTTGTCGCTGGCGGTAAACCACATTCTCTGAGGAATAACGCCCTTTGTCCACAGAGTTCTGTCGCCAGAAGGCGTAATTGCATTTACCCTGTCCTTTGCGTCTACACTGTCGTGTCAACAACGCGGCTTGCTTTGTCGACAGAACTGAATGTCGTCTAGACACTCTTTGTCGACAGAAGCTTTGTCGACAGTATCTGTCGACAAAACTTCTGTCGACAAAAGCCTGTCGTCTAGACAAACCCTCGGTTACCAATCCACGAAAGGACTGTCCCTCTTATCCCAGGACAGCTTACTTGACTTAAGAGCCTTTGGTGAGGGACCTTGTCAGAGGCTTTCAGGAAATCTTAGTGCACTATATCTACTGGATCCCCCTTGTCCACATGCTTATTGACCCCTCAAAGAACTCTACTAGATTAGTAAGGCAGAATTTCCCTTTACAGAAACCATGTTGACTTTCCCCCGACAAATTATGTTCATCCATGTGTCTGACAATTTTATTCTTTATTATAGTTTCAACTAATTTGCCCGGTACTGACAATTTACGGGCCTGTAATTGCCAGGTTCACCTCTAGGGCCCTTTTTATATATTGGCGTCACGTTGGCTACCTTCCAGTCGTTGGGTACACAAGCTGTTTTAAAGGATCGGTTACAAACACAGTTAACAGTTCTGCAGTTTCCCATTGGAGTTCTTTCCGAACTCCTGGGCGAATGCCATCTGGGCCCGGGGACTTGTTACTTGTGAGTTTATCGGTTTGTTCCGAAACCTCCTCTCGTGACACCTCAATCTGGGGCAATTCCACCTAAAAGGACGGCTCCGGTCTGGGACTCTCCTCACGTCCTCAGCCGGGAAGACCAATGCACAGAATTCAGTCCTGTCCCCAAAGAGCAGGCCAGGCCCCTCTCTCGCCCCCTCCCAAAGCGTGCAGGGCTGAGGTACCCCGGCTGTGAGTGCACGGAGTGGATGCTGGCACGAGGAACGTGCGAAGCACCTTGCACAGAACACTATGGAGCGAGTGTTGTTCGGGGGTGGCTGTGGCGGAGGCAGGAGAACAGAGACGGGAAGTGCCCAGTACAGCCCTCGGGGGAGGGGGTGCCACCCCAGGGGCACGGCCTGGCGTGAGGGCATGCGCTGAGGCATTGTTCCGAGCTGGCAGCTGCCCAGGGACGGGCTCTCTGGCTCGCTCACTGCACAGGCTGAGCGGCCAGGCAGTGTGGAAGTGCCCCATCGTATTACCAGCCGCCCCGTGTTCCCCAGAGGCAGTGTGCTCGCCCTATAAAGACACACGCCTCTGTCAGGCCCCTGGCACTGCGCGGGCCAGAGCCTGGCGCGTTCCTAGAGCAGAGCTGTTGGGCAGACATCCGTCGGGATTTTAAAATGGCCAGTGAACCCACCGTGACGCTTGGCAGGTTGTCCCAGGTGCCCCATCGTATTACCAGCCGCCCCGTGTTCCCCAGAGGCAGTGTGCTCGCCCTATAAAGACACACGCCTCTGTCAGGCCCCTGGCACTGCGCGGGCCAGAGCCTGGCGCGTTCCTAGAGCAGAGCTGTTGGGCAGACATCCGTCGGGATTTTAAAATGGCCAGTGAACCCACCGTGACGCTTGGCAGGTTGTCCCAGCGACTGTCCTTCGGGACACGGGATGCCAGCCCCGGTTGCAGCAGGACCCAGTAGGAGGCACAGTATCCGCTCTGCTTCTACTCGGTCCCCATTCGTGCAGCCCGGCATCCTGTTAGCTCCCCTTGTCGCCCTAGGAGCTGTCCGAGTCCCTGTGGCCCAGGCTAGGGCCCCCTGCTGTCGTAGGGCCTGCGTTCCCTCCAGCCCCACGGGCAGTGTTCAGCGCTGCCTTGCTGGCGCCCAGCTTGCCAAGCAGCCCAGGCCACCCTGGGTCTGGACCTGCTCTCTTTTCAGGTATTGCCCCCGTGGCTGTGCGAGCTGCAGGCTTCCTCAGGCCTCACTTGGTTTTTCCAGGTCCTTATTTCACAGCAATAGCGTAGGGCCACGGCTCCTTCCCCGAGGGACCCCGCCGGCTGCACCCCCCTCGCCGGGGCACCTGGCCAGCCAGCAGCCAGCCTGCAGTCCTCCGCCAGAGGAGCCACTGCTGCTCCCGGGAGGTCTCTCGGTGGGCTGCCTTCAAACCCAGCTCAGCCCCCGGCCCGGCCAGCTCCACCGGCTCATAGTGACCCAAAAGACTCGGGGCATCCTGGCTCTGAAACAGGGAGGGGGGATGAAACACTCCCCTCTCCCCCAGTCTGCAGCCTGC